ATGGGTTTTGTGATGCTTAATATTGGCTGAACTAATTATATTGGGTCATTTTAATGTGTTCAGCTTTCCACATTCCCTTAATTGATGACTGCACTGGTATTAGCTTTGTCAAACACGGCATATTCAGACATGGTTAAGAATAGTCTAGATACTAAGGGTTCTCAGTTGATAAAGTGTTAAAGATGCCAGGAGTGTGTTTTATTTATAAACTCTGGGTTAAAGTGTATTTTTAGGGAGGCTAGTAGCCAGGATGTACAATTTATTTGCAGGGTGTGCAGGTTAGAGGAGAAGTTGGAGGGTTTTTTGGGTAGAGTTGCAGAGGTGGAAAGGGAGAAATGTAAGGCTTAGTGAAGAACTTAAACTTCTGAAGCAAAGGGTAGAGTTGGCAAATAGGATTTAAAGGGAGCTAAGAAAGGAAATAGGGCTAAAAGCTTGGAAAATAATGCATTTAGGAGCAATGATGGGTTTGGGTTTAGGTTAAGCAACTGGTTCCAAGCACTTGCTAGTGATGAGGGGGAGCAGGTCAGGATAGGAAAGGACAATGTAAAGGATAGGAAAGTTATAGTTATAGGTGACTCTCTAGTTAGGTATGTAGATAGAGTAGTATATGGAATAAATAGGAGCAAAAGAATACACTTATGCTATCCAGGAGCAGGGGTACAGGATATAACTAACAGAGAGATAGTTTTAAGGGTGCTACTAGCAATGCAGTTTGTTAAGGATATTGCCAAGAATAAATTGTGGGGATGAGATACTAAGTAGGTCACTACGATTGAATGCCAGGCTTAGATCAATATGTTGGAATGAGCAAATAGGCTGGTTGGATTTGTGGTATAATTTTAAGGGGAAAGTTAATCTTTTTGTAATGGATGGCTTACACTTAAACAAGGCAGGGGCTAGCATGTTAGCAAGGGCTATTAACTCAGCTGTAGTGGTAGATATAAACTAGGGCTATGATGTTAGTAAAATAGGAAATATAATTGACAGGAAAACATGTACAATAGGCATAAAACATAAACATATTTTAAAATATATAAATAATTGTTACTATTGTAATGCTAGGAGTGTTACAAAACAAAATGTACAAGTTCAAAGTTGTTGTGGAAACTGAGGATTTTGATGTTATGGGTATCACTGAGACTTGGCTGGATTTGGACAATTTTTGTTGAAATACCAGGCTACAGATTATTTCCTAGAGATAGAGTATTGAAAAAAAAAAGGGAGGAGCAGCTTTATATGTGAGGAGTGAATTGTATCCTGTTGAGTTAGAATATATTAAAGAAAGTAGAACTGAGGCTGAGTTGGTTTGGGTTAGTGTTAGTCAATACAATGGGAAATGTCTTCTAATTGGGATCTGTTATAGACCACAAGGTCAGAATGTAGAAGTTAATGAGAAACTGTATAATGAGATCAGAATGGTAGCTGAAAAAAAAATGTTGTTATTACAGGAGATATTAATTTCAGAAGTATTGATTGGGAAAATTTTGAGTCTGACAGTGAGGGGGATAGGTTTTAGAAATTGTTCAGTATACTTTTATACACTAACTGGTGATGGAACCTGCAAGAGAGGAAGCTATACTAAATTTAATATTGGCATGTTAGCCTCTTAGGGTTGCCTCCTCTCTTGCTCTTTGTCCTCTCTCAGACATCCTCCTTCTTGGAGGGATGGCTGTCTGTCTAGTATCGTGGAGGTGACTTGTTTCTTGAGCCACTCCTTGGCTATGATCTGATGGGAGCCAGGCACTTCCATTTTGCACACCTACAGTATCCCTTTGCAGAAGACCTTTAGGTCACACAGGTGCTTTCTCATAAGTTTTCTCTGTTTTTCCCACACTCAACCTCTTTTTTTTACCCCTCAGCCTTCTAGCATCTTTGGCACCTGGAACAGGCTGTATCTTGGAACAGATCCTTGACTCCACTCTGCATTTTTACTCCCATCTTATTTGTTTTTCCCAAAAAGATGACAGATTGGCAACTTATCATAGCTCTGTCGTCCTTAAACTAATTTCTTGTCATCCCTTCCTTTCAGGTTTGCTATAGCCCCGTATCTTTCAGATTGGGTAATGAGGGCATTCATGCAGAGGATGCATTATTTAGGCTTACATTTCCACTACTATATGGATGAATGCCTTCTTTTTGCTTAGTCTAAATAATCATCCTTGGTTGTAACCTCCCTTCTCCTTTGGGAGTTGTCTTAATTGGGTTGACTGGTCAAGCTCTCTAAATCTGTTTTGAACCCCATCCAGTATCTGATTTGTGTGAGAGTTGTTTTTTTCATGTCACATGCAGGTTGGGCTCAACCTTCTCCTTTACATCTTTGAAACATGAAGCTTCTGGTTACTAAAGCACTCATGTCACCTTGTGTTCCTGCATGAGTGGTTCTGTCTTTCTTTAGGACCCATATTCAGCCTTTTCAGTGGACTCTAGTGAATCACTGGAGTATGTTGAAAGACCACTGTGTTCTCTTGTGTTTCTATCTCTCCATCTCTTCAACTCTCATGGTGACTGAAATGGCCCCCAGATGACTTTACAGATTCCTTTT